GGAGGTGTGTTTGTATTAAAAAAAATCAGCAATGTTTTTTTTCCATCTATGTTGTCTTGTTGAAATAAAAAAAATAATTCCTCTGCCGCAGGATTCCTATGATTCTAAGTCGCATTCCGTTGTTAAGCAAGAGGAAGTGGAGCAAATGGTGGTCTGCGGGCAAGTTTCAGGTGATCAACCAGGTAATGAGTTTAACTGGTAACTGTTATTTTCTCAACTAGTTTGATAGTTTGTAAGATTGACAGAATTTGTCAAGGTTTGCTCCTTACCATTCTCCCTTTATTCTCCTAATGTTTCCTCTAAAATATCTCTTTCACTGATAGATTCACCCCAGGCCTCTGCTTGTGCAACTGAAATTGGCGGGCGTCTCGTTAACCAGGAAATTTCAACTGGAGAAATACCCACGCCCCAAGAAGAGACCCCAGTAGCCCGAGAACAACCCTGTTTGGGAAGTAATAGTGGTCTACAAGGAGCTCAGAACCAATTGCCTGAATTGGTGCCTTCAATAGTCTTCTCACTTGCTTCCATAAACAACAACATAGAAGAAGATTCTGAAGTAAGTCAAAACATATCAGCAACGCAGGAAGAACTCATAAAAAGGGGAAAGCCCCAATCGGTGGTTGCTCATAATGAATCAGAGGTTGAACCTCTTCAAAAAGAGCAAACATTAGTGGTCAACCTAAAATGTCCAAAGGAGGGCAAAAGAACAGTAAATGAACAGGCTGATGTTACTCCTAAAACTACAGGGAAACGAATACGTGCACCACGTAAACAACTCAATAAAGGAAAAGCATTTGAAGAATCAAAAGGTGGCGACGCTGAGGGTAGTTCCCAGCCTGAGTTGCCAGGGCCACGTAGAAGAGGACGGCCGCCAAAGAAAGCCAAAAATCAGCAACAGCCTATGAAGGAAAATGGTTCTCCGACTTTTTCAGTACCATCTGTAGGCACAAGATGTTCCTCTAGAAAGGGTAAAACCTCTAAACCTCAACAACTCTCCATGGAAAATGAAAAAATCTTGATTCAAACTCCATCCACTGAATCTTTATCTTCAATTGGAACATTAAACCCTCCTGAAGATCAGCCCAGAGAACGTCGTAGCTCTGTAACTCTTCAGGATGCAATGCTATTAGTTGAAGCTATGAATCAGTCAACAGTGGATATGGCAGCACCAGCTAAGACCAAGAGTGCTTCTCATGTGGGCATCCTACAAACTGTGGACGAGGTCGCAGCAGAGCAACAGACACCACCGCTTCCTGTTGAGACATGTAAAGCTGCATGCGAGCTGGCTGTTACCGAGCTCTCCACAAAGGACCAATCGACAATAGAGAAACACAATGACTCTCCTATGAATTCTGATATAACTTCGACCAATGAACTTCAGTCCAACATCAACTGTGTCCTACCAAAACAACAGCATAAAGTAATTCCATCTAAACCTGCTACATCTTCAATTCCCTTAACAGATGTTGCGGTTCAAAGCATTATGCGGGCACTTCAACAGCAATCTTCTGCTTCTCCGGTAACATCAGTAGCAACCAGCAAAACGATCAAGTCAGTCTCTCGTAAAATAATTGCCATGCCAAGATCATTAACCTTCTTAAAACCTCCTAAAATAGGAGCACCATCTCCCTCCCAGCCACCTACTGTTGCTGCACAGAAGAAGAGTATACTTCCAGACTCCTTAACTGCCGGCTTGCTTCTCGGAACCCCTTTTAAAGCCTCTGCTCCTCAGACAACAGTAGACGCTGCGTCCGTGAAATTGGTTTCTGCTGACCCTACACAGTCAACCACAACCGCAAAAGACTCATTGTCAGGGCCAACACAACAGCCTCAATTCACAATAATAATTCCAAGAGAAGTGTCAGCTGTGGCGTCAAGGCTGCTTCATTCACAGAACATCATTCCGCAAATCAAGCAAGATACAGCCAAATCAGATGCTTTTGTTACACTGCCATCGCCAGATTTGATTTCACCTTCACATGAGTTAAGGATTACTGTGAATCCACAAATTGCTTCAGAGGAAGACGCCAAAGTGTTGTTTCAAAACAAGAGTGAAACATTGGAACCAATTTTAGAATATCCCCAACAAATAGACTCAGTTTCTGAGCTTATAAAAGCACCTACAGAGAACATTCCCAGTTTAAACGCATCAGAGGGGCCAGTGCCTACCTCTGTGCCTCCAGTGATAACGCAAAATGTTGCACAGAAACTCTCTGCCGTGGTCAGATTAACCAGGCTCTCATTTCCAATATCAGCCAAAGAAGCAGTGAAAGTCTCTATACTGCCTACAGATGGACCTTCTGAAAACTTGAAAGAAGGTATCACAAAAGAGAAACCATCATCTGTGGTTATGTCAACGCAGCCATCAAAGACGATTGTGTCATCCACTGAGTTATGTCCCGGATTAAAAGAAACTCCTGTTGTTCTGCCTGTGAATATCTCTCAGACGGCAGAAAAGCCCAAAGGTATTCAAGAGACGGCATCATTATCCTCTGAAGGCAGAACACCTTCCGAGGTGTCAACACCAGACTTTGAGAACTCAACATTGGCCCCCAACACAACACCTACAGAAAATAAATCATCGGCTGACATCATGCATCTAACTCCAATCGCCACAGAGGACATGTCAACTCCTCATTCATGGATGACTAAAGCCCAGTTCCTTGCACAGCTGGCAGTGACACCTGTTACGAAAGACTCAACAAAGGTGATTTAACGATATATGGATACAACCTTGATCATTTTTGGCGCCATATTTGTATATGTCAATTAGGGATCGACCGACATGGCTTTTTCAAGGCCGATACGATTATTAGTAATTAAGGAGACCGATAACCGATATTTGGAACCAATATACATTTGCAGTAAAATCAGAAAATCTTGGTGTCAAAATGTAGAATAACAAAACTTCTATGAAATGCCTTTTTATGTTTTAATAGCCTGTCAGATAGCGCTGTGGGCGGGACATGGCAAATGTTCTAATTTGATTTTTTTTTAAAAGCCGATACCGATAATCTGTCAAATGCGGCATATCGGCCTTGATAATCTTCCAGGCCGATAATCAGTCGAGCCCTAATGTCAATGACAAATATGTTCAAAGCACCCATAAAAAGGAAATCTGGGCTGGGCTAAGCCCCCAATGTTTCAAGGTCCTAACTACGCCCCTTGTATTACTTGTGAAATGTTGGGTGGGAATGTTTATTCACTGGCCTGAAATTTTCCTCACAATGGCCTTGGATGTTTAAGGAGCACCTTAATATATTTCTTGGCTACTCTTGCAACTTTTTGCTAAATTTCTTTCTTTATCTTTCCTTTTTATTATAGGCTTCCTCTGAGGACTCCATGGATTCCACAGCTTCCTCTGAAGACACCATAACTGGTGACAAGAAAAGGTTCCACAAAAAATCTATTTTGGACAAGCTCCAAAGTCATCTCAAAACTCGCTTGCAAACTCAAAGATCTAAAATTAATCCATGCAAAGAAACAGAGACCGGCGCTTTAAGGCCTATAAATCTTAGATTAAAAAATGACAGTCCAGCCAATAAAAACACAACAAAAAAATCAATTTTCCTGATGCCAAAAGACTCAGGATTGGTTAAAGATGTTACATCTCCAGCCAGGAAATCTGTTCACCCTGTTCCTGGACAATCTGGACCTATTGTTGGGTCCAAGAGGACTTTTAGTGATCCACCGGTCAGTTCTAAGAGGTTTAAGGCTACTAGAGAGTCCACTCCTTTGACTCGCCGGTCTCCAGGTGTAGATGTTGGCTCCACAACAAAAAAATCCACTTCTCTGAGTCCTAGGATGTCAAGCTTTACTAAACAAAGTGCTAGCTCTAAAACGGATAAATCAACTTCCACGTGTCCTAGAAAATCTATCTCAATTAAAGAAAGTGCTAGCCCTAAAAACAGAAAATCAACTTCTGTCAGCCCTAGGAAGTCTAGCTTAAGTAAACAAAGTGCTAGCTCTAAAACGGATAAATCCACTCCCCTGAGTCCTAGAAAATCTATTTCAATTAAAGAAAGTGCTACCCCTAAAAAGACAAGATCCACTTCTGCAAGTCCTATAAAGGGTAGCTCACCTAATGAAAGTGTTGGCTCAAAAAAGACTGACAGCATTTCTGTGCATCCTGGGAGGATTAGTTCAACTAAAGATGGCGCTAGCAATAAAAGTTCTGAAACCACTTCTGTGGACTCAAAGAGGACTACTTTAAGTAAAACTGGCACTAGCCCGCAAATTATCTTCAAGGAGTCGCCTTCTTTCTGCCGTAGAAAATGTACCTTACCTAAAGATGTTACTACCAGTGCACAGATTCAAGGGGAAACCAATTCCTTCAGTCCTGGATATAGAATAACTTCAGACGAGGCTAGTACTAAAGAGGTTAAGTTGAACCCTGGTTCCCCAAGTATTAGGTGGCCTAAATTGGCTAAAGGTTGTGTCAGTCCTAGAAAGACAAGGGAATCCACTCCTGCAAAAAAAAAAAGATTAAGTCCAGATGTTACTGGTCCTAAAAATAATTTAAGAGTGGTGAGTGCTAACAAGTTGGCTAAAGCAGCAAAAGCCAAAACAATGGCCAAAATTAGAAGTTCCAGTCAATCCAAGTTGCAGAATGGAGCTAAAACAACCCAGTCAGCAGAGAACAGTGACACTGCGAAAAGAATTACAGCTAAAGCCATCTGGACTCCTCCTAGAGTATCAGCCAATAAAACACCTGCTGGGGAGAAGAAAGAGACAAAATCACCCAAATCCCAGAATCAACCGCTAGTTTTCCCTCCAAGTGTTTCTCTCTTCCCTATACCTGTCAGAGGACCTACTGTTATGTCACCATTACAGCCTTTATCAGTCATTGGTAGGCGTCTGCTCAAGAACCAGTGTGGGCAGTGCGGCCGTGTCCTCAGCAGCGTTGCAGCCCTAGAAAGCCATGTTCGTCTCCACACTGGGCACCGACCCTTCTCGTGCACGCTCTGTGGGAAGGGCTTCCCAGACTCGAAATGTCTCAAACGCCATGCACGGGTTCACCGCAATGGTAGGATCCATGTCTGCCCACAGTGCGGGAAGGGCTTTGTCTATAGTTTCGGCCTCACCAAACACCTCAAGATGGTGCACAGGAGGATCAAGCCTTTTGTCTGCCAGATCTGCAACAAAGGGTTCTTCACAAAACGAGATGTGGAAGCCCACTTACGGATGCACACTGGAGAGAAACCATTTCATTGCAACCTCTGTGAAAAGAAATTCGCAAGGAGGGTAGAACTTAATATGCATTTAAGGTGGCATAATGGGGAGAAGAGACACTGGTGTTCATACTGTGGGAAAGGATTTCTAGACTCCAATAACCTGAAAAGGCATAAGTATATTCACACAGGGGAGAAACCACATGCCTGTCCTCACTGTGATAAGAGTTTCAAGCAGTCAGGCCACCTGAAAAAGCATGTCAAAAATGTTCATAAAATCCCATGAGATGGACATTAATATGCCACCCTTTTCTTCTGAGGATGTTATTGGCTTTAAGAAGGCTTCAATATCACTTCATTTAAGGAGATAAGCTCTTTTACATTCTTACCAAGAGTTAATTTGAGTTTAGTTAAAAATATTTCAACAAATAATTTCCTTTCAATTTTGCGAAAGTACAAGTGATATCATCCTTACTTGCAAGCTCACATTAAAACATTGGGACTGCATTCGAAATAACATGAATCCGCTATGCAAAGGATTGTGGCTGAGAATAGCCAGAGAAGCATTGCTGCAAAAGCAACTGGATATTGTAAAAAAATGTAAAACTCTAATTTTAGGTATTCTCACAGCAGATATGTTGTAATATCACATGATTTTTTTTTTAAATTATTTATTCATTTTTCTTATTTTAATTGCTAACAAACATAAAATGGCGGAACTGTTACATAAGGACTGGTTTTCCATTTTCTTTTTGAACATTTTGTAAATACAATAAAAGGCAATTGTAAGTATTTTATCTGCTAGATTTTGATTCTTTATATTGTTTTTCTTTTATTGCCTTGATTTTGACGGCTGTTAAAAAAAAATCAATATGGGTTAACATTGTACTGCTTGGGCAATAATGTAACACCTACAACAACAATTAAAATTGTGCTTTCATACTGGACAAGAAGCCAATGAAGCCATCCCTGAAAAAGACAATGAATGTACGGCCATGGTTTTTATATAGCTCGGTATGACCACACATATTTCTCTTGAGGTGACGATTAATTTTTTCAAATGTTCTGTATGGTCTAAACACGCCAAAAGAGGATGTGTCCATTTCCCACAAACATCAGAGCACTGGAACACAACTTCAGCGTTTATCTGTGTCCATTAGTCGCAACCAAACTTTTTCTTTCAAGTGTTTCAAACATTGTTTACGAAAAAATACAGATTTAATGTTGTAGTTTTGCGGAATTCTCCTTTTTTGATTTTCTTATATTGCCATTGCACAGGGTTTTATTTTACAAGGGACAGATTTCATTTTATATCTTTTTGTAAATGTATTTTTCTGCCTGCAATGTTCTGAAAGTGGATACTACCCCTTGAACAACTCCCTGACAACAATGGCCAGACTTTTTTTGAGAATTCTAAACCTTTACTTTTAATTTATTTGATTACTATGTATATTTCCTTGGTCTGTTGTTTTTTCTGTCATTGAGAAAGCAGATAATAAATATAGAGTTGTCATACTAAACTGCTCCTATGCCCTTTTTTTGTCTGAATACGTGTGACTTTAAAAAAAAAAATCGATATTGCGGATGCATGACAATGGTATAATTTTACAATGGGAACTTTTTCCTTTTAAATCGTTCGACTTATTTTAAAACATGTCGAATTAATAAATACTTTAACCACAATTCATTTGGTAATTTTCACATTTCCATAGGTACAACAGAGTAGGCCAACTTTTAATTCTTAATTTTGGCAATAAACAAACAATACATGTGCTTGTCAATAAATAGTAGCATATCAAGGCTTATGGCTGAAAGTTGGCCATACAATTAAAAGTCTTAAAGGGGTTGTTTTCCTTCAAAGTCACATGAAACACATTCTTCCAGTGAAAGTGAATTAGAATAATGAATGAACATTTTAATTAAAACATTTAATGCAGGTATTTCTCCACAATCACTTTCATTTCTACTCAAAATTTGTTGTAAAATCTGTTGTAAAAATCTTTTGCCCACAACAGGATGACTGTTATGTATCATTCTTTCCCTTTTTTGCCGACCAGAGAAACTCCATGTCATTTTTATTAGCCTTTTCCACTTATAAATGTTTATTATATAATGTAAAATGGGTTTTTAGAATACAATTCACTGCCGTGGTTCTTACCCTTTTTTTAAGACTACTATCTATGAAAACATTCCCATAGATAAATTGGAAAAAAATTAATTAAAATGAAAAAACATACATATTCTGCTATCCGTCGCCTATCACTTACTGCAATTATTAATCACCTTTTTTTTTTTTAAATCAATCAATTTTGTGTTAATCATCCTAGGGATCATTGAAATTATGCATTTTAATTTAAAGAACATCTGGATATTAACATATATTATTAATGTACACAGATATGTTCCCAATGGTAAATGTGGTCGGATTAAAAAGGGGAATGCTCATTTTGTATCACCATACACAATCTTTGTTCCCAAAGCTGACATGTTACAAACACTAGGATAATATTAAACTATAAAATACAACTAATTTCTGTTTTAAATGCCTAAATATTAAATTTTCAGACACATTTGTATCGCTTTATCATCAATTTTCCTAATCAATGCCCACTTTTTAATAAAGTACAATATAGAAGCACTAGATGACCATCACCGAAAGGAGGTTTATTTTAATAATTTGTACATGGTTTGCCCAGAGTACATCCGATATTAAACAACCTAACTTAAGCCCTTTAAAACCTTGTAACAAGGGCAGATATCAGCAAGCCCAACCACATTGTAAGAGACATGGTTAACGCCGGAGGGCCTGCAGAACGCACAATGGAATGATAGCACTTGCCCACATTTCCAACTTTATCTACAGCCACTATCTCGACAATCTGTGAGCAGCAAGAGGCTGTGTAGTTGGCCAGAATGAAGGGATCACTCAGGGAGGTGGTGGTGATGTTTCCACTGCCCTGCCGCAGGGCCACGCTCTCTATCCCGGTACCGTTTCCGTCCGTAAGGTTGGCCGCAAGCTCCCACTGGAAAGGTCTACACTGAGAAACATCTTGAGGGCAAGCATCAGCCAGCACGCTCATCAATTGACACACAGGCTGAATGAAATCTGTGATCTGGACAGAGAACAAAGGGGAAGAAAGTGGGAAATGTATTTATGAATCACAACAAAGTGCAATTAAGATATGGAGGAGAAACAAATCTCTGAAAAAAGTCTTTGTAGCCATGTTTAAAAAGAATGTTGTTATTCCTACTCTTTTCAACTCTGTATTCTTGTTACCTTGGTTAGAACAGAGAATCTCATAACCACGTAATTGGAGTCCACGCTGCTGTCCGACAAGGCTTCCACCGTCAGAGTGACGTCAGTGCCTGATGGAGTGTTGGCAGGTGGCGTTATAGTCAGACTAGTATTAGTATATACACCAGTTGTCAAGATGATACTGTCAAAAGAGAGAAAAACTATTTGAGAATAACACACACACACACATTTGACTTTGATTGAAATCAAGAACATTTCCCGTTCAAAGCATTGATCATTAATGACATTTAAATAATGTGAGAAATCTATAATGATAATAGACTAGAATAATGCTCAAAATTCCAACAAGGAGGCAGTTTATTGTCAAGTGATGGTAACAATGTAATTGCAGAATGCAGCCCTTTTGTACGTGAGCTCATTGCTTGCGCTGCTTTATACAAGGAGGGCACAACAGACTGAGTCAATGCACACGATAAAGGCACACAGAAGTGGAGCTCAAGCACTGATGATATGACTCATTTGGTATTTTCTCAGAATGCAGTATGGTCGCAAAGGATTATTATGTAAGAGTGTGAGTAAGTTAAGTGTAGAGTCGTAAAACATAACATGGGAACATTTCTTAATTCGTGTAAGCTACAGACCATGTATCACGCACCAAAAAATCCTTAAAAAATCCATTGACTTTGTTCAAAACAGCTGACTAATTTCCAGGTTTGAGGACCTGCAACGTTATTTTGTCGGGCACAGCACCCCCTGAGTTCTTCAGCAGCAAAACTATTCAAATGATTTTTGTATAGAGACAATTGATTTAGACAAAGTACAAGAAAACTAAATCAGTTAAAGCAGGAGTACTGAAGGCGTAGCTTAAAAAGAAAATAGACCTCCTTTGAAACACCCAATTTCAACGGTCATGGTCAAAGACCTCAATGATTATGGCGCAAAAAAACATTGTAACAAAGACATCTACAGGGCTTGAATATAAATCTAATGTCAGAAACATATGATAAAAAGCACTCACCTGTCTGGGTGGGACATGGGGAAGCCTCTGTCATTTCTGGCATTGACGCTGTATTTGCCACCAGAGCCCTGGGTCAGGACGCTTATGGGGATCCCGAATGATTCCCCTGGCCTCACACTGCTGTCTACCACAGCCTAGAGGGAAGAAAACAGGTGAAAACAAGTAACATTAAAAGTGCTTACATTGCGTATAGGCCTTTATCTAACTTTGTATAAAAACATTTGCTTGTTGTATGTATACACAGGATGGTAAAATACAGACCATGATTTTGACTTTAGAGATGGACATCTGGGTGGTGGACTGCCTCTGAAATTTGCTGTTGGACACTTTGTCAGTTCCTTCCAGAGTGACAACAAACTCCCCCTCAGGGATGGCATCAACGGTCATCAGGATGTCTCCGTTGCCCATGTCCAATGTTGTGCTATTGCTAGCAGTCTCAGGGCCGGAAACAGTAACCAGGGCAACATCTCCTATGGTCATCGATGACGGACCTTTCCTACCAAGTACGGAGAGCATCAGAGTGGCCGGCTGGTCTGGTGTTTCCAGAGGAGAGAAGTGAAGAAGCAAGGTAAGGGGAAGAAAAAGTGACCTATACATACAGTATGTGTATGCAAAGATCATGAATAATTTGCCATTAACATTGGAATGTTTGTGGAGTGTGTGCTATTAGGATGTTTGATGTGCCAAACCTCACCATTGTGTTTAATAGGGACATGCCATCATTTGTAGAAAAAAATGCTGATTATTGTTGAGCTCTTTTCTTTAGCACTGTTGTTTCTAGATAAGTCCATTCACTCAAGTACTGTTCTTAAATAAAATGTGTAGGTACTTGTACTTCATTAGAGTTATTCCATTTTCTTTTACAAAGTAATTTACAGGGTTAAATAAATAATATTTGTGTGGATTTTACCTTATTGATGCCTTACTTGGATGTACAACTAACTGGACAGCATACAGTAAAGATGAGTCACAACATTAATCAGTCTTCATGCTATATTTTTGGTTGTCTTCTTGGAGCATAATGAAAATACAACATGCATTTTGATGTATAAAATGACAATGAAAAAATCTTGTTCAAATTAAGTAATGTTCTACTATTGTATAGCTTGATGCTTGTATTGTTGTACTGTTAATCCCTTAAGTAAAATTTGAATGCACAACTTGTCCTTGAGTATAAGATTTGAGTGCATCTTCCACCACTGGTCTTCAGCCTAATGGATTCAAAGGAATTATAGTTTAGCTACAGGAATTTTGTTTTTAGGCGTACGTTTGGATTAACATATTAAATATAGGTGACTCACTTAATTTTAAGAAAAACTGCACAAAATACTTATTTATCTCCCTTTGTAGTCATTCTTTCTGTCAGTGTTTTTTTTTTTTGCTCCTTCTCATAGTCGTGCAACTTTTTTTGGTCACTTTATAGCTGTTTTTACACTTTATAGTCGTATTATGTTTTTTTTGTGGTTATTTTTTGTCTCTTCCTGGTTTGTACTTGCCTCTTTTAGTGACATTTTGTAAGTGAAGGCCAGAGGGCCCTCACACTTTGGGCCCCTGGGCTTGTGCTTGCTCTTCAGTAATCCATCGATGCTTTATAGTGTACCTGCTTGTGGACGCCCACTGAGTACTGCATAACCTGGGTGAGGTCCCTCGAAACTCTCCACAAAGTTATAGATGAAGGTAATAGTACTCTGGCCTGTAAAACAAACACAGACTTACTGTAAATGCAGATACAATTCATAAAAACAGAAATCAGTTTAAAGAACAGCTTTGTAATAATATGTGGTGAATTATTTCAGCATCAGAAGCAAAACAGTTTGACGCGGTTTCGATTAACCAAAAAGTAGTTTTGAAATACACTACTGAATAAAAAAATGTATTACATTCGGGCGAGTGAAACCTTCAGCTAAGATGTAATGAAAGAATAGCTCTTTATTTTAAATATGTATTTGCTTTCTTTCCATAGGCTTAATGACTAGATTATTGCCCAAAGTTAAACATCATTTCTGTTAAGTGAACATGAAGCTACTGCTAGTATCCATTTAGCTTATGTAACCCACATTAAAACATAGTAAGGATAAAGTCATTCAAAAGTGATTTCATTAAAGGTTACACGTTTAAAATTGGTCAATTGGTCAATGATAACATTGACCAATCCCTTTTTAAAAATATAATAAATAAAAGTAGTATGACAAATTACAAGGTACTGTTCCTTTAAGGGATCTCTGCTCACCACCAGGCACGCGAAGCGTAGCAGGAGAAAAGAGAAAACAGAGCAAGACGCAGATGAGATGAGCGGAGTAAATTATATTAAAAGTGATTCAAAGTTGATTTAAAAAAGATAAAAAATACCATCCACACGGTCGGGAAACCCAGTAGATGGTATAGAACATTAACCAACTGTGTTTTGGTCAGGTTTTTTCATAGAAAGTTTTGTATGAGTGATTTAATGTTAGCTTCATTGTTAGCATTTCATGTTGTTGAACTGTAAGGGAAGCTATGAACATGGCTTGCAATGCCATGTATTTGTTATTTTGTTTTGGCTGAAACTACGTGGCTTTAATGTGTATTTTACAAGGGGAAATATGTGTTATTTTGTGTGAACAGGATAAATGACACGTGTAGAGGAGAGTAAAGCTGCCATTTTGAGCCCCATTATAAGCTGTATTGACAAAAGAGCTAAGTTTGCAGTAGTTTGAAAATGTAATTATATAATTTATATTGTTAGTTTATATTTTAGTTTATATTCTTTCATGACCTGTCGTAAAGGTCAGGTTTTTTGGACTGGATAAGAAAGTTGATCGCGAGTGAGAGGACAACACACACACGCACTCTGATACAAGATGGTGAGCCAGACCCACGGACTGCTTTGATCTTCGCGCCAGTGAGAGGACTTGCTGGTTTATCAAGAGACAATAGCTGAACTCACTGCCAGAGTGGTGGGAGTATTGAAGAAATTATAAGGTTGGAACTGGATTTAAGTTGTACCTGGATTTAAAGAGACACTATATATTGTACTCTAGGTTTTCTTTTGTCATTTGATTTCATTGATGGTACAATTGTGTTTTTTTCATTGAATTAGATATATTTTACCCGTGAAAGGGAAAAGAAAAAGAGTTAACTCAGGATATTGAAGAGATTAAAATAGGAAAAATCTATAAATAATACTTAGTAGACCGGTCTAAAATAAAATAGGCTATTTTATTTTGTTCATCCTATATGGATACCATTTGCTAAGTCACAGAAATCAGAAAACAAGGGAAAGGTGAAATACTTACCTCTGATTATACTGCAGAAAATATTCATTGTCTATGTTTAATGTTTTGTCTATTTGTCTATTTCGTCAGTAAATTGCCGGCTGTTCTATTCAAACCACCTGGTCTCTGGTCTAATTACTTACCTGTCTATCCACTCTAGTAGAACCCAGAATCCTTCTAGTCAGATAGCATAGCCCAAGATCAGAAGTGTTACACTTAGCACAAAGGCTGGAAAGAGGGGGAGACAACAGCCTGGCCAAAGGTACTTGGAACAGCAAATTTGTAGCAAGTTAAATCTTGGTTATTTATTTAATCTGGAGAAAAAAATGAAGTGCAGGCGGGGGTACTTCGCTATTTTTTTGGCAGGGAGCAGTGACCTCATACAATCTTGGCTGGTCGCATTGCAAGCTCAGGTTGACTTTTGTTGCAACCATTTCCCCCTCTTTCTAGCCTTGAAAATAGATATTACGGTGATATTTATCCTTTCAACTACATTTCGGCAAAAAAAAGTAGTGAACAAAAGTAACTGACCAGTGACTTTAAGTGTGTATTGCTGGTTGGAGTTGACGTTGAGCTGCCAGTTTCCTTCCAGGCTGTCGGCGTTGAGACGAATCCTCCACAGGTTGCCAACTGTTTGTAGGGTTCCCAGTTTTCCGATGGTGTCAACCTGGCTTGAGCTCACACCTGAACATTTTCAGCATAAATATGTATCATAATCATATTATGATTAAGAAAAGTGGGCACCCAAATGAGCCTCAAATATTGACACTCTCCTGATTTGATGCGAACAGTGCATTGTGAACGATATGTTACCTGCAGGGTTGGTCAGTGTGAAGGCAATTTTTGTTCCTGTGATGTAGATAGTGATATTTTTCAGCGATTCATCCAACATAAAGGGGAAGGTCTCCTGTTTACCAGGGTTCCTTGCACGCTGAATTACTGTTACCTGAGGAAGAGGGGGGGGGGGTCAAGAAGAGCATCCTTATTTACTGCTTTAACTGGTCAAACCCCTGAAGGCCCAGCCCATGCTTCAGAGAATGTACTTTTAGATCTGCAGGGTCTTACCAAAGCTGAAGTGGAGGTGTCAAGGATGACGCCTGTAGCCTGAGGTAAATCCTTCTTAGAAACCTGGACGACCTGGCCTCCGGAGGCCAAAGCTAGCTCCTTGTAGACGTCTAAGTTGGCAGCTCTTGTGAAACGGCGGCGCCTCCTAAAGGGTGCAGTTAGGAAGAATGATACCTGTGGAGACCAGTTAATGTGTTGAATATAATCCCAGCATGTCACATAAAAAGACAACCTAAGGAATCCATTGGTTCAAGACATGTCATGGCAGGCTTATTGGTAAAAAGGCAAAATAATGCTCCAATGTTAAGCCACATTTTGGTGGTGAAAAACTGGTATTGTCATACTCACGGCGTTCCCTTGCCTTTTTACCCATAAATATTCCTTATATGCTGTTCAACTTTTATTATTATTGCACATTTTAAAGTATTTTATTTGAATGTTTGTTGAAGCTGGTCCCTTAACGGTCTTGTAATTGCAAAAATAGGGTATGACCGGAAACTTGAGACTCTTGCGCTTTTGTATGTTACTCCCCATGGTATTTAATTGTGAGACAATTGTAATTAAGACCTGACCTCACTGTTTAAAATGGCCAGCTTTCAGGCTAAACACAGTCTCATCAAACTTTCTAAACACAAACTACATACTTGAGTATTCATTTGATGTATGGCTTCCCTTGGTACATTGACAATAAGGGGGTTTCTGAAGTGCCTGCGAGTCAATCTTTGTCTATATTTTATCCATTCTCGAATGGTCAAAAATTGTTACATTTTGCACCAAATATGCCTGTTAATGACATCCACCCATACAAATGTTTGCAACAACATAAGATAAATTAATGAGCATATGAATGCTCATCACATACTTCCGTAATGATGTTCTAACCCCCACACAATGCTCATTACTGTTTTATAACTGGAAAAACTCAGTTGTATCTAAAACGTGTTTCCATATTGAGATGATGTTTACCACTGCTATGTGGTGTAAATGTGTGTGTATTACATTTAATATGTGTTACTTTTCAAGTATGGAATCTTTGGTAGGAAGGTGGGGGGGATTAATCTGTTAAGCAGAGTGAATAAAAAGTAGCATCACATGGTGTCAGTCAGTTTTTACCGTGGACTTGGTGCTCCTGGTGAGAGCAATGACGGTTGCCTTGAGGTAAATGTCTTTGGCTACGGCGTCGGTGAAAACATAGATGTAGGAGGAGGAAGGGGCACCGGTGAGAGCCAACTGGAGATACAAAACAATAACCTAGTCAGTTCATTTTGCATCAGCTCAGTCTTAAATAGTTATACAAATAATGAACAACCACTGTATTAAGACAATATCATAGTTTAAGTACCAGAAGTCCTGACAGGCACATCTCAGGGGTATCACCACCTGCATTCGCTCTAAGCTTAGCGATTTCGCTTTTCATCTTATCAGGGTCTGTTGTTCTGATCATGGGTCCAAAATCTACATGAAAAACAGAAACGAGTGCATTTCTGACATTAACATAAATAACTTGTTATGTCAATATTGTGAGCCCCATAGGGGTCTTGTTAACTCACAAAAATCGGGCAACATTTTTTTTCTTTACAGGTGAATGCATTCCGTATAACATGACTCATGGTTACATAAACATGAACAGTGAGGTAGAAGAGTTCATACCAGGGTCGTTGAAGGGAACCAGAATGTACTCTGATGGCTCATCCTGTGTTCCTTTTTTGCTGTCAATGATTTCATAAACAACCGCCCTAGCTGCATCAATGTCTTCAGACATACTGCCGGTGGTGTCAATCACAAAGCACACGACTGCTGAACGGGCGATCCCCATCATTCTGTAAAAATAGAGAGTGAATAAGTAAAACTCAGGTCAACCTTATCCGTCTGAACCAAGCTATACAAATGAGGCCTGCAGGGGGCAACTTCGCTAAGATAAGATAAGATGGAGCTTTATTAATCCCCGTGGGGCAATTCAGTTGTACAAGCAGCAACAGGGTAAGCGTGAAAAACAGGACAGCACAGATTCACACAGATTAATACAATCAAAAATAAAATCAAGAACAAAAATTAAAATTATAATAATAATGAAAGACTATGAAATAGGAGATGAGTAAAAATAAGAGTAAAATAACTGTCAGCATACATATTTGGTCATCTAAATTATAAAGTACGGAATAAGNATAAAATCAAGAACAAAAATTAAAATTATAATAATAATGAAAGACTATGAAATAGGAGATGAGTAAAAATAAGAGTAAAATAACTGTCAGCATATATACATATTTGGTCATATTATGAAGTACGAAATGAGTTAAAGTGACAAGTGAAAATGGACATCTGTACATATAGTGACATATCTATCTATGTATTTGGTCTACTACTAATATATATTAACATCGGTTGTGGAAACAGTGTATATTTATGTCCAGTGATTTTATATTATGTATTTGTTTACATTATTGGCCCCTTGTTGTGCAGCCTGATGGCTACAGGCACAATGGACTGTCCGAGGCGCTTGGTGCGTTGTTGTGGAGGGATGAGTCTGTGGCTGAACGTACTCCTCATCTTCACTAGCTCTGCATGGAGTGGGTGGGAGGGGTTCTCTAGGATTCTGTCGAGCTTCCTCCTCGCCCTCCCCTCTGCCACCTCCTCCAGATTGTCCAGTTGTACTCCAACTACAGAGCTAGCCTTCCTCACGAGCTTGTTCAGCCTGCCAGTGTCCCTAGTGTTTTTGTTTCCACCCCAGCACACCACGGCAAAGAAAAGCACACTGGCCACCACAGACTGGTAGAACATCTGCAGCAGCCTCGTGCACACATTGAATGACCTGAGCCTCCTCCTGTCCCTTCCTGAAGAGAGCATCAGTGTTGTCTGTCCAGTCCAGTTTATTGTTTAAGTACACTCCCAGGAACTTGAAGCTGTTCACCACCTCCACTTCCTCCATCCACTAGTTGCAGAAAGAAGTCAAATTGTATGACGTCTATGAAAGAATGTCGCTACTTCTCACTTGATCTCTGTGAACATGAGTTTATAGCCTAAATTGCTTGTTTCAAGTCTTCTTGAAATCATCTTTAGGTACATTTTATAAGCTATTGTCCTATTTCGATGTATAAAAGACGATATAGCAGGGTATGGGTTGGTGCGTCGCTACCACAGTTGTGTCTGGTTGAGTGTTGTGTTTTCATCTTAAAACCCTTTCCCAGTCTTTTTTCAGATCATGAAAGTTGCAGACAATAGTCACCTAAATTGTCTTCTGTCCACTGCTGGTTCCAAAAAATGCATTAGTCAACGAAAAAAGTGCTAATACAAGGCTTCAAACCCGTAATCCAGAATCCAATGGGTCACGTCAAGGTGACAACGTCTGCTTCTTATATACAGTCTATGGTTTGGGCAGTGATAATATAACGTCAAACTAATGGTAAGATAAAATAGGATTTAGATATTGACCGCATACCTCAAATAGTCATCGTTCCCGGCAGCTAAGCGGAGGTCCTCCAACAGCTCGAGGCTGGCGGCTGTAGCTATAGTGACAGCAGCGTTGTGAAGGGCCACGTTGTCTGAGCGGCGCTCGTCCTTGCTGATGCCTCCGCGAGGATGTGTTGTGCTCGTCAGGTCAGCTTCCCCTCCATGGCTACATTTACCTGGCACAGAGCAAAAAGAACAAGTTGATCTGGGCCAGGGTTCAACTTGTTAACACAAACAATTCCACGTTATGTGCAAATGACTGTCTTGTATTCAGGGATGGACTAAGACTGAAATACGGCCCTGGACTCTGACCCAGTAATTATAATGTCAATTAAGACTCTAATTAAGACTCTAAATTCTAAGCCAGAATTTGCAAAGCTGGATAGAGTTAACCAGTCTACATTGATATAGGAATTAATGTGGGGGATTCTTTCAGATTAAGCTGCCTACAGCTTCTTTATACTGTTAAAAGCTTTCACTTCATGAACTCTCTGAAGCATGCAGGCAGAAACAATGATAAACCTGCAGCCTCTGAGGTGTGTCGCCAGGGCCGCAGAGCGCAGGGCCTCTTACATACTGCCAGCCACTATTTACTTTCATTAGATCTGCTAAAAACCACAGCTGCTGCTACAGTCCCAGCTCTACACACATCGGATGTTCGGTTATTACTTCATATTCTGCGTTCGGTCAGCAGGGGGCATTACAGCCTCTTTCAAACTTGGTAAAGTAACGTTCTACTTCCGGCACAGCCGTAGTGCCTATAGACATGTGTACATGGACAACAGTGTCCATGAGCAAGTGAAGAAACGTGCCATGTGGACGGACGTGTATGTAAATATATTTTTTCTTCAGAAAAGCCCCTTTACTAGGCGAGTATAAATCAAATGTTTGCTTAGCGCTGTCGCCTCTCAGTCTGCATCTTAAATTGTGATGTTTAAAAGAAAAAAATATTGCAATGCGTGCCAGCCGTCAGCTTTCCAGGATGACCGGCCGTTATGTGAAGAACGTACCGATGGCCGCCCCTGCTTGTACTCCAGGAAGAACTTGTTTTTATTTAACTGCCGTAATTGTGTTGCATCTGATTGTAATACTAGGGAACGTAAATGTCACATGGTTTATTTTCCCAGTTTGAGATTTTTAGGAAATACCTATTGGAATTTTTGCAGCTACATTATTAGGCTAAGTGTGGAGGGAAAGCCCACAGCCGGTTAGCTTAACTTAGCATTTGGACGGTAAACAGGGGTAAAACAGCTAGCTCGACTGTCTAAAAGTAACCTAACACCACCAATAAAATGTGGTTTTCAAAATGTTTCACATGTATTTAAAATTAGTTTGCGTTCCGTCATATTATCTCTGTTTCGGCCATTTTTTGTGTATATAAGAAATAATGATGTCATGTAAATAAAGTTCAATTGATTTCAGGGTTTTGGTACAAGCTTCTCAATGTTACCTTGGGGCTTGTCAGAGGAGAAGATTCCCATGTAGCCTGATGTGAGTTTCTTCTCACTCAGGATGTTGGGGAGGATGGTATTAGGACATGTTCCACTGGCACAGTCGCTGCAGGTGGGAGTGTCAATATCTACACAAGCAAATGACACATACAATGAGTGATCATTACATTGACTTCTGCTCTATGATATACTGTAGAACAGTGATTGGAGAGCTATGTATGGTCATCTGATAATAATGCACATCCGGCTGCCAATCATAATAAAGGCATGAAGACAGCACCCTTCTCTTTGGTCTGTGCAATGGACTTTAACCTACAAGTGATACAACGGAAATAGTGTACTTTGTGCCTTTACTCAAACCACAGCAATCAAATCATAGTTATCCTATATTTGTCACACACACACAAATGCACGCACGAACCTGCCAGGTTATCCAGAGGAAGATCTGGCCGTATGAGGTTGATGTATGGCTTTGTGTTTCCCAACTCGACCCAGTTACTGTGGCTGTAGAAGTCCTGACAGTGGATAGAAAAACACAAATTAATATTTTTAAACACAGAAACAATTTCATATCCAGGATTCTACCACCTTTAACCTAAGCGTTCTGTCCATGTCCACATCACCCTGCAACTTAACATATAGGTTAAGTGAACCCAAACAGGTTTAATATTATTTTTGCTACAGTGCATACATTTCAAGTGTTGAGTCTGACCTTTTTATCCATTTTGTGTAATCGTGAAATCTGAGATGAAAAAAGCAATATCTTCACTCAATTGTTGAGTATCTAAGTTATCTAATAACATATTCCTGATACAATATGAAACTAAACATTAGACTAAGCGGTGGTGAGTGAATGCCTTTTTGCAACACATTATTAAGCTGCATTGACATGCTTTGCAATTTGCTCTTGCTAGGTCTGGCACAGAGCCTTGCGGTAAAACAGCTAGTTAGTTTGTTTCTTTGGTTAACGCCCCTTCTAGCTTGCGACGCTACAAACAGCTCTCATCTGATTGGTTGAGCGCTGAAAGGGTCAGCGGTAATGAGGTCGAAGTTGAAATTGAAACGCTCAGCGTAGATTTTAAGCAGTGCACTACGCCAAGGATAGCTCTTCCACCTAGCTGAGTGGCACTGCTCTCTTCATAAAAACACAGTGGCACCGTCAACCCAGAGCCGTTTTACTACGATTCAATGCAACTTTGAAAAGCCTTCCATGATTAAAAATAGGCCCTATTATGCTTTTTAAGGGTGTTACCTTTACTGTTGTTTGTTATATAGGTTTTTATGCAGGTAAATGGTCTGCAAACGCTAAAATCCCAAAGTTCCCTGCAGAGGGAGTTTCTCTCCCATTCCGGAAAAGCCTCAATTGGCCTCCTTTGTTTACATAAAAAAGTGACTTCATTATGTTACACTCGCGCTTGTATTGGCTAGCATTCCAACCTATTAGCTTAGGTTAGGGTTAGGGTAAGGGTTAGGTTTGGGTTGGGGTTAGAGTTGTGATTGACCAATCCCAACTGAGCCCAACAGAGCCAGGCAGGTAACCAATCAGAGCAGACTGGGCTCTGGTTTCAGACAGAGGGTTAAAAGAGCTGCTGCACAACAGACTGTATGAGGGAAAAAAGAGGGGAAAAAACTAAATAAATTAAAGCATGTAAATATTTCTCAGTAGAAGTACAAAAAACAAACGAGCATAATATCCAGCTGCCCCGCCCCCCTCACCTGTAGTGTATGAAGGATTCTGCCCAGTGTTTCCCTGGCAGCCTTGAAGTTCTCCTTGCCAATGTTGGCCTTAATGGCTGCCATACCCTCCATAATAAGAGTACGTCCCTGCACAAAGTTCTCCGAGTTGAAGTGGTGGGGAGCACTAAAAGAGATCCAAGAGTAATAACAAAGTGAAATACTATGCATTAGAAACATACGCACACTTCCTTAGTTGTACTGCTTTGTAACAGGTGTTTGGTTTCGATCTTTCTCTGACCTGCTGACAAAGTCACGGTCTACCAGTCCGTTCTGGGTGTAGATATCTTGAAGAGCAGAGTGAAACTTGGCACCAGATACTTCTCCTGTTGCTCTCGGACCTAAACAGGCTTGGACCAACTCTTCAGGAGACAAACCCTGTAATCAGATGTCAAAGACCAGATGTTACAGTTACAGTATGGTGTTGTCAAAGAGGATGTCATGTTGTGATCAAACAAGACTAAGGGCCTTTATTTTCCTATGTTATCGCAAACACAGTGTGGACATTTTGTGTCCGGGAACAAGTATATTTAACATGCACAGTTGACGCTAACAGACCCCAAAAATTATTTATTCGTTATTGTATTGGTTGCATTAAAAAGCAGTTGTAATGTGATTTGGGAAGTTTTACCAGTAATATCATCCAAATGAGATTTCCCCAAAAACGCCAATACTGATGTTCTATTGAATGTGCAATCCCCCCATGAATAGGAAAACATCAATTATTACTTTTGCCAACCAAACTCTGTGCCAATATATATCCAGTACAAACTAAAAATCAGCCTCATGGTTGAACTATGGAACTTTGGTAGGATTCAACCTCTGGGAACAATGTTTCTGTATACCAAATGTCATGGCAATCAATCTAATAGTCATTGATATTTTTCAGGAACAAAGTGGCGGACCAATAGTGATATAGACCTAACTATAGTCCTGCCATTTATGACAGTTCAATTTGAATTTAAAAGGGTTATCCCTACTTTGGGTTCCTAACTTAGGACTGTTCTTTGCTTCCTGAATTCTTAAGATAAAATAGAATTGTTTTAGTATAGTTTTTTTTCTAAATGATGTTTGTACTAGCAATTTGTCTAAATGTCGTGATAAGCTTAGATAAGAAAGGTTTAAGACTTAGGAAGGTAATGAGGCTAAAAAAATGCCAATGGATCCTATGACTGCTATTCTATACAAAACTACCATAAACCTCTACTCTCCTTTCCCTAGGCTTTAGTATTGTCAAATGAAGACCTTAAAATCTGTTGGTGTGTCCCTCTCTTGCCTTTCATGTGTTATGTTTTTAATGCCCAGGGGAATGTGTTTCTCTGCTAATGTGTGTTTGTGTTGTTTGTCATCTTTCATCCTACCGTGGGTTTGAACTCGTGACCAGCAGCCTCTGCCACCACACGACATGTCTCCGTCACTTTCTGCAATAGAGCCGTTGCTGTAATGCTGACATGAGTGGAGGCCCCACCCCCGATGGGGACAAAGGCTACAGCAGACCCCGACAGGGCGAAAGTCAGCAGGGCTATCCCTAGCACTGACGTCATGATCAATCTACAGGGAGAGAAAAACGATTAGATATCCACTATCTTTTTAGTTATGCGATGGGAACTTGTTGTTAATTCACCTTGGGGTTATTATTCTGGACGCTTATTTTGACAAATGTATCTTGTTAGATTCGGAAAATGTTGAGTTATATGAAAAAGTTATTTAATTGTACTGAAGTGAACTTGACATGAGGAGTTTGTATGCAGAGACACGTTTAGTACACACTTAAAGAATGACCTGATGAGCCGCTCCCCTCAAACAAATCATTCTAATGTATGCCTTGTCTTTTATTTGCTATTCACGTGAAGTTCTCAATGAGTAGGTAAATAGTTAACCTTAAGACATCAAAATGCAATGGTTGCAGCAATTTGAATTATTTTGCCAAAAAATAAAACCTTTACAATAAAGTGTCAATACAAAACAAATAAGCAAAAGTGACGACTGCAACAGTGTCTAAGGGGCTATTTCAGGGTTTTGTTTTTGAATGAGTTGAAGAGTTGGTTATATTCACAGAAAAAAATTCTGAGCTTGAAATGGTAACTTTACCAAACTAAATTCAGATGAAGGTGGTAAATATAAAAGAAAAAAGGACAAATTAAAGAAAATAAAGCTGAAAAAAATGTATCTTAGATAATAGCGTAAAGAAAGGCAGACATTTTGGAAAATCTGTAGGATCAAATGTGAAATAAAACTCAGCTAAATGTGTTTGAATCAGTTGAAGCTCAAATTGTAGTGCCCACACATTTATGGTTAATGCATTGCAGATATATGCATGATTATGTATAGTTTTTAACATAATAAGGAGTATATACAAAATACATATACAAAAATGTAATAACTCGGATTATACTCACAAGAAATAAACATGCTTCCATTGCCGTTTTTACTACTTTCACTACATTAGGGACAACATTGCATTTATTCTTTTATATGTGTTATGCTGTTAAAATAATTATATAAACTAATACATCTGGGTTGAGGACATCTGTCACTACATAAATACACAAAATCAGGAATTTTTTACTGTATGGATTTACTGTATGGATTTACAGATATTCGCTGAACTTTTATAACACCTCAAGCAAGAGTATTTTTATGGCAACTTACTTATTTACTTACTTAAAATATTCAATTTGTGTTTATGTATCTCTCCAGCTCTAATTGTTTTATTATTAAATGTTGACCCCACTCCCAGTGGCTTATTTCATTCATCCATCCATCTATGTTATAAACACACACATTCTTAAACATTTAAATAATTAAGTCAATTTAAATTATTTAAGCATTCTTATTTCTTTAATTGAGATATATATACTGATTCTTTTGAGTTACTAAAGACATATACAATCTAATAAAAGAGAGCGCTCATCCATGTCAATTGAATAATCTAAATTAATTTAAAATAAAATCATACCTCAGCTGTGTTGACTCCTATCACTCTCAAAGAAATCCAACAGTCAACCCCACCATCCATATAGAGCTCATATATATAGAGTACTTTGTGTACTTTGGAGGGTGGAGACTTAGACATTTTAAAAGGTGTGTGTGTGTGTGTGTGTGTGTGTGTGTGTGTGTGTGTGTGTGTGTGTGTGTGTGTGTGTGTGTGTGTGTGTGTGTGTGTGTGTGTGTGTGTGTGTGTGTGTTTGGGGGGGGTGTGTGTGTGTGCATATCAGCTATCTTCCTTGTTATTATCACTCATACCAGTTCAATATGATGTAAGGCTTTCCCTCATAAATATCTGAAAATAATGATCTTATTATCTAAGCCCCTTAGAAAATGGTCACACCTTGATGACTTGACTTGAAGAGAACTGAGTGCAGTGACGCACTGAAATCATTTATTAAAAGTTAAAGTAAAACGTTCATACAAAGGTGGGGCAAGTTAAATAATTGTTTGCTTTAATCTTTCAAGCTAAAGATGGAGGATTTTCGGTTAGACTGTGAGTAAAAAGTGATTCCAAAAAGTTAAAGGGGCCCTATAATGCTCATTTTCAGTTTCATATTTTAATTTTGTGCCCCTTCTGTGACATTTATCCATGCTTTATTGTTCAAAAAGGTCTTTATCTGTGCTGTGCGAGTGTTACTTAGTGATGTCACTATGTCGTGGAAGCAAACAAAGGACTACAAGTATAAGGCGTTTTGCAGGTGTGTGTCAGGGGGAGAGAGAAACTACCTATTTTTGCCTTTGCAGAACATTTACATTCACACAAATCTATACCTCACTCTACAAAAAAAAAGGAAAACCCCGAAAAGCATAATATGGCCTATTAAAAGAACTCTAGCATAGCAATTGATGACACATGAACATTATAATTTTATGAAAAAACACATCCACATTTTTTTTGCCGTTATTATATGCATACTGGCCTAAAACATGGGCTGCCCGCTCTACCAATTAAGCTTTACATTAACATAAAGTATAATAAAACAGTTTTCATAGAGCCAAAACATTTCAAGTGCTACTCAGCTTTAGATAAGCCAGTCCTTTATTAGTATATAAGTGCTTTGTTAGTAATTCTATCGCTCGAAGTGGTGTCGAAAGAGATGACTTTTTAGTC